GGAGGGGGGTTTAGCTTATTTAGGCCATATGTGGCCTAAATAAGGTCACCCATTAAATTTCTTCTCATCCTGATGTTCTTTAAGACAGACAAGTGATCTGTCTTCGGAGTGACCTCAACTGTGATCACTGGGCGATCTTTTATTGATCGTGGGTAGGGGGGGGGCGGAAGGAGGCACTTCGACGCTTACGTGTAACAAATCAAACCTTCACATGCTATAGAATGGGCTGGAATCTGTGAGGAGAGGATGAAAGTGTTTTCCCCTTTTGTAGTAGACTAAACAATTGATGTGAGCGCTCAGAGTCAAAACAAAATGTTTATTGTTTTTTCTCTCAACACAATTGTCAAAGTATTGGCAACTTTTGCTTCTCCCCAGCAGTTGATTTACTTCAAGCGAAATTTGAAACGTTTGTTGGTGTTGAGTAAATAGAGGCGCATTGGTGCAATAACGATCATTGTGGCGTCGCTGGTCTAGTGGTGAGGCTCTCGGTCTCGCAACCGTGAAGTCGTGGGTTTGAATCCCGTCAGGGACCCTACGTTGCGTCCTTCACACCAATAATTTTCTTCACTTCCCCCAAGTAGAAATGGCACACGTCTATAGACAGCGAAAGATCTTGTCAGTTTGTTAGTGTTTGAAAGTGTGCAATCTGCAGCTAGCACTGTATGCTTCCCAGGAAGCTGAGAATATTCCTGAGTGTTTTAGGGTCTCCTGGGGTAGTTTAATAGTTGGAAAGCACATTGAGCGTACTGTGGAGCGAGGATGTGCGCGATATAAATGCTGTTATTATTAATTATTATCATTTAGTGCCCGGAAAACGTCAGACAGGCTGAAATAACAGAAGGAACGTAAAGAAGTAGGACCTATCAGTGGCGCTCTCTAACCGCCCGCAGAGAATTCTCTAACCGTGCTATTTTCTTCTCATGGTAGCCCTTATAACATGCTATTATTATAAATGGAAACACTCAAAAAGAAATGTTTATGAAGTAATGGCTAACAGTGTCATTGCTTACTCGAAAACAAAACCATTGATGAGTGCACATGCTAAAACAAAAAGGAACTGAGCCAATCAGAGATGCCTTATATATGCCAATGTAAACAGCCACTTTCATTACGATATAAAAAAAGAAACAATACTGGAACATGAACAAGTATGAGAGCTCACGGGACATTCTCTTCTCTCTCTCTCTCTCTCTCTCTCTCTCTCTCTCTCTCT